ATATTCACACACTTTTCTTTAAGACATATTTTAATACGGTATTCCATCTAGACTTAGGTCTTCCAAGTGTCTCTTTCAACGAGATATTTAACTAAATTTCCGTATTCATACATCATCCATTCTGAATGCTACATAAATAACAAATATATATTTTTTTATTGGCGAATCATTTCCATGAATCAGGATCAATCTTGAGATCCTGACAATCGCTTAGTTGGTAAATAAACTTTCCGCCTTTCAATGGAACCCAAAAGTTCATTACCGTGATCACTAGAGTGATAATGTAAAAGATGACGAATCTGTTTAAGAATGAAATGAATACAATAAAAAATATTTTCTCTACTTTCTCGCTTATTTGTTGACTTTCTTCTTTGCATGTTTGTTTACGTTACACATTTTCTTCCACTGCTTCTTTATTTCTTTCTTCCTTTTATTCTTTCTATCCTCCTCCTCCTCTTCTTATTTATTTATTTCTTTTCGACTTAATCTGAACAGAAAAAGATTGACTCGTTTTACATCTCAGCAGTATAAGAAACCTTTTGGCATCTTCTCCTTTAAAATAAACTGCAAGTCAGTAACATATCAGATACAAGTTATAGCATAAATGAGTAATAAATGAATTAACATTGATGAGGGTCAAGTCCTAGTCTTCTCACTTCAGGGGTTATGAGAACATATTTTACGACCCTTTTCATCTTTCGCGAGAGTCGTTATTAAAGTTGCTAGGCCAAGGGAACTTCCATAACTGACAGAATATGTCTGTCACAAACCATCATACAAAGAAGAGCTAGACACAAAAGAGTTCTAGAAAGAACTCATGGCACTTCCTTCCCTCATACGTTGCCATATTTTATACAGAAGCTAGCAAGAAGGATGATAACAAAACAGCCCTCTGACTCCCTCCTCGTTGTCTCAAGGGATGACTAACCAACTGCAGCACGGTAATATTTACTCCATGGAAATGTCTTGATTCACAGCAATATCTAAGCAACCTTAATCGTTACATCCCTGAAAATCATCGTGGACCGCTGGCACCAGTCAAAGCCCAACTACGTTAAGCGTGGCTTCAGTACACAAAATAAAAATGTAACAAAGTAATAATAGGTTTAAAAATAAGAAAGCCACAAAATTTTAAAGTTATACAAAGAGACGCACAATCGTAATCTGGAATCCATAAAAATGATTACGGATACCAATTCAGGTCTGTCCAACAAAATCTCAACCTCGGAGGCCATCAGCGTCTTCTGGGACGTTGTGCCTCGTAGTCCGATCGACGTTTCAGATGTGCTCGCGATCTCCGCCATGAGAGCTATGAGTCATCGCCCGGATAACGGAAGTAGTAAGCACGTATAAAACGTCATTAAATATCTACCAGACTACGTGGCACAACGTTCTAGAAGACAGCCCTGATCGCACTCCGCGCCTGAAAGTTCAGCGGTGGACCATTGCGAACACGGCAATAAACCTCGCGTTCCACGAATGTCGAAGAACCTACTGACTATGTCTCAGGGAGGAAATACGAGCGAAATCATTTGTATATCTGAGCAGTATATCTTTAGTGTTCAACGTCAATAAATTGCGTAAAAAATACAGAATCCACGGTTTCTATCACCTGAAGAAAAAAAATTGATGCTGGATCTCAACACGTTCATTGTCGTTGTCTTCTGAGTTTCAACGCGACGTGGACTTTTATGTGACGACAAACGTTTCGGAAAAATATATCGCCACCAACTCCAGGGTGAAAATAAGTTTCTCCGAAATCACCTATAATATCACATGGCGTGACAACGCAGAGGACCATAACGTACATTTGTAGTATCGTAGAAAACTAGAAACTAAATTGTGTTCACTGCCCGTGTAATTATACATAAATAGGCCTAATTTACTTATATCTGTAACACGAAACGTAACAAAAATGGCTTCCCTAATACTTAAAACATAAACAGTGTGCCAAGAGCCATAATAGTTCCACTTCTTGTCATTTTATTGTTTTGTTATAAAGCCGTGCAGTTAATTTCGAATTGGAAGAAGGGTGAGTGGATAATGGGTTGATTGCGTAATAAGACAATATAAACGTCGCTGAAACTTGTTAATTTTTTATGCAGCGGAAAATATGTCAGCTTCATTGACATCGGTAGCGTAACTGTTCTACACCAATTTTACATCCTAATTACTATTGTCAGGTTTCTTTTATAAAGTGCATTGGTTAACTAGCATGTTACACTAAGCAACACACATTAATCATCTCTCTTTTCATAACTTCTTTTTAATATTTATATTGACTATGGGAGTGAATAATGGTCCGAAAATAGTGACAAATATTTTGTTCCTAGTCGCGTAAAACTGAACCGCCAATCGTTCACAGTCGCCGCAAAAGTTTCACTTTTTGCATCATCTTCTGTTAGTTTGTTAGTTAGCTAAATACAGGGAATATTTCAGGGAAAGGAAAGATAATGGAAATGAGCACTTTAACCCTTTATGTGGGGTCAAAGACCCGAAAATAGTATATGACCATTAGGCTGTGAGAACAGTGGGGGTAGATGGAATGTTTGTGTTTCCCACATTTAGAGCAAATCCTCGTTATCGATCTGCTTGTAGCGGCTATTAACACGTTACACACTGCAGATACTCAGCATCTTACAGGGGATTCGACAAACAGCTATTCTATGGACGTTCTACAGATAAAATGGAACTCGAAACACCTGATACGTCAATGTGGGTTGACCGGCACTCCTGCTTTGTATTCCGGGTGCCTCGAGTTCATATCTCGACGTGAAAACAGGCTGAAATTACTGAGGTTTCTCGTGATTTCTCTCAGTCACTCGAGGCCAATGTCGAGATAGTAACTTACATTGGCCCACAACTTCGTCATTCAATATCCTTTCAATTATATTATTCATTCATTTATGATACAAATTACATCACAAATAAATAGAACAAAATAAATGCTAAACGATAACTAAAACAGAATTGCTAGTAATGAGAAATTACTTGAATTGGTTATTTGGAAGAACGAAAACTATAAAGGACAATAATATTATAATCCCTATTAGGGAAAGGCATTGTAAGATACGAATTAGGTGGAGCTAGTTCAGAAGTGTTTCGAATCTCGGTCTTTGCTGTTAGCGGTTGATCCATTAGATTCTGTTGTCACAGACTGAGTAATCTTTTTGCATTTATACATTTAATATAAAAGAGAGATGTGGAACGACATTACTAGTCTGACAGTCAGCCACTTATTCAATTATCGGGTCTCCTAATTCCTAAAGAACATGGTGTCAGAAGATGGTTGTCTTCTGGGTTGTTACGCCATGTAGACTGGTAGATGTTTACCGACGTTTCAGAGGTACTTGCTGCTACCTTAAGTTTCTGGAATACAGGCCTAAAATGATCTTACTTGTATTAAAATGCTCAATATAAAACGGACACTAACAGGACTATAAATTCATAAATTAACGACTTATTATTTAAGTTTTTGCTGTTATAACCGTTACGATGGTAATGATGTTAAGACATTTTATACCTTTTGGCGTAATATTTATAACTGTGTGTTTACTACTTAAAATGTTCCGTCATTCTTTACGGGCAATATACTAGTGTCAATACAGTTTATTTTTAAAGCGCGGAAAGTAGAAAAATAAATGAGAAATAAGAACGAGAATTAGCAAGTCGAAACGGAATTCACTTGTATAGTCGCACTATAAAGTATCTGAATTTCAACAATGATATGGGTCATTTAGTCAATTAATCTAACCCTTGGAGAGGTACTATTAGGGGCTTCTTTACTGTAACCTATTCATGTGCTTAATGCTGAAGGCCAGTAATTTCGTGTGGTCGTTCGATAACATTCTGTCATTAACTTAACGCCAAACGTAACAAAATTCCAACGATAAACACCCTTCCATTTAATTTACCTAAAACATCCCTAATGGGCACAAGGGATTACAGCATTATCTGAAATCGTATAACGACCAATGAGAATTTTAGATTGTCTGGTCCGACGAGCTTCAGAAGTTTCATCATCTAAAATCCAATGCCATCAGCTGTACCATTATTATTTTAACAGTTTGTGCTTGTTTTGTTGTTCAATAACTCGAAGGACTTACTGAAGTGAGAGGGTTATGGATCAAACAATACAAAATAATGCACAGTTATAGTATTGTACCCGCGCGTTTTAATTATCATACACTGTCAAAGGATTTATATCCCTTTTAATATAACGTATATGAATTAATCAAGTTATGATTAAATCAAAAACCATTAACTTAATTTATATTCATGTTATTCTCCCAGAAACTTTAAACATTAAATACAAAGTTATTAAATAAACTATTTATTTTTATAAAATTCCTATTATCAGTAAACCGTGAAATTAATTTTAATTATTAATTATGTCGCACAATTTGCAATAATTTTTCAAAAGCAATTTCAGCCGTCCGATTAACTCCTATGATATTAAATTCACAAGTTATTTAATTACTTATTGAAATAAACTAACCAGTCAGCCAGCTATGAAGCTCATTTGTATTACGCCATCGATGCTTGTCTGCTTCCAAATGTATATAGGCACAAATAGCCACAGAAGTTGAAGCGTCTCAACCCCCCCCCCCGGAGACACCCACGCATTTGTGTTTGCTATAGTTTTTCTCTGGTTCATCAATCTCGATGCATTTCCAAATATCAAAATAATAACACAACTAACCTTTATCATAAAAAAATTTTCTGACAGGATCAGATAAAGTACACTTGTACGGTGTAACGCAAAGCACGCGGAACGCTAATTATGCACCACTGGCATATAACACTCGGGCTGACGGAGATGGCATTTCATGACACCAATCTGAGGACCAGACCCCGCTAGAAGCACATGCACTGAGTTCAATATAGCTCTGATTACTTGCTGATAGTCACAGAGCCGGAAAAATGTGCAACTGTTTGTATTACAGCACAGGGGAAATTAACGATACATCGATTAATATCGATCCAACAAACTTGCTCACCCGTCAATGAGGGGGACGTCCCTGAGGATACGCCTCACTGCTTCTAGGCGCTCCTGATGTGTAGATGGGCCCGCAGCACTCAGAGCTAGGGGTACGCCTAACCCCACACCGAGGGCAGAAAACAGCAAACACACAACCACACCAAGACACCAGTGTTTTAGGCGCTTCCCCATTGTACCTGAACAAAAAGAGAATAAACAGCGTTATTTTGCTGTTTTGGTGATGAACAACATATACGACTGAAGATTTCTGTCTTCTGGGTTGTTGCGACGTGTAGTATGGTAGATGTTTATCAAGACAGAAATCTTCATACTTACCGCTGTGAAAACCTCAAATCTTACAACATATACGACTGTTTACTAACTCCCTGAGCCAGAATCCTTCTTGAAAAACCGCTCAGTTTTCATGAATTCGTTAGCGTTCACAAGAGCCCTTCTGTAACACGTGGGAAATAACAATTGAAGGATCAAAATCGCTAAGAAATGATTTCGAAAATACGTGTAGGCATTACTGCTATTGCTTTTTTTGTGTGTGTATCGGCTGAACGTAATCGTTCTGTAGCAGTAAGGCGGGGGAGGTGGTGTAATTTCAGCCTGCAGACGAGGTCCACAAATGCGATCTACCACCAAATTATCTATTATGTCAGATGTCCGAACTGAATTGTAGTCCAATGTTTGGATGAAACTCCCCACTCTTATTCTAATATGGAATATGAGATTTGATTTTGGTATTAGCAGATACCTGAAAGCCAAAATTGCCTGATGGGAGTCTTACCCACATAACAGATTATAACTATGAGAGTGAAAATTAGTCAATTAGTCAATCACACAGAGGATGATGGGATAGCAGAATTGTACAGTATTCCCTCAGGACTATGACAGGTTTCCATTCCAATCCAATTTAGGCTATCGATGCATCACAAACAAAACTGTGGATTATGAACACACCTTCTACAAACAGTAATCTCAGTCGGTTTAGTTTTATTGTCTGAAGCGTCGACATATCAGTCAATATCACTAATTATTACAATGATTTCTGAACAACGATGAGTAATGTAAATTAAAATAATTTTAAAATGATGCGTGTATGAAATTTTTTCTGAATTAAAGGGATAGAAATAAAATGTATCTTAAAGAAATAATTATATGGAATTGTTCAGAACAGAGTCACGGCCAGGATCTTTTGAGCATTAACATTTCAGGTTACATAAGAGAAGGGAAACATCTTAACCAATTGAGCGGTTATCAGCTTCTCACTGAGAACTCTGTTCCATGGAATTTCGCATTTAGTTAAAAAAAGTTTTTCGAGTGCAAATTTTCCGTATCATCGAGTAAGGTGGCGGGTGATTATGAAATGTAAGTAGGTAAGATTTTCGAAGGCAGCGCCCAAGGCATATTTAAACGGAATAATTCAGCATTTGTTTGGAGATACTGAGAATCGAATAGGGTATCCCAAAACACAATTCCGGAGCGATACACTTACACAAACTTTCTCGTCTGAAGCTTAGCAAGGTAAAATAATTGGGGTACAGAGTAATAATGATGATGGTGGAGGCAGCAAGCACTTCTGGAACGTTTGTAAACTTCTGGCAGACTACACGGCGCAACAGACCAGAAGACAACCATCTCCAAACTCACCGCCGTGATATCAAGAAATCTCACAGACTTTGAAAACGTTCAAGTGGTCCTTAAGTTCCGTTACGACTCAAAAATTCTTTATAGCATTAGCAGTTTTTAAGATAAATTATTCTCGATAAGTTGATAATCGCTCAGCTAGTCAAGAAATTTCCCATATTTTGATGTTAAAAGGTTAATTACCGTGTCCACAAAATCCGGCAGTCTCCCCTAATCTGAGTCAAATAAATTCAGTGTACACCACCGAACCCATTAGGCATATTTCATTTCTCACATTCACAACAAGTCTTCTGCGTGGCCAAATTTTGTTACCTGCACCACGCATGTTTTACATACCCCTTCCCTTGACGTGTTCTTCATTACAGTAATAACAACTACTTGAATTTTCCACCAAAGCTGATTTTACGCATTTGTGCAAGGAGATTATAAATATGAATCTTAACGTGGGCCTTATTTATTTTAATGTGCGTTTATTCATTATGCACTCAACTGGACATGTGAAAATTTTGTTGAATAAATATGATGTACGAGATGCGATCGGAAAGTTTCTAGACTGTGTCAATAAAGGGCGAACCGGATGTAGTACGAGCTTCTGCCGCTAGGGGGTGCGGCCTACATTCATAGTGAATCAGTGTGCCAACCAGCATCATCGAATTAGCATTTGTTTCTTAGTTACGGGCGTTTTGGTAGTGCATTACACCGACCCTCCTGCGATTTCGGAATGGCGTGTGCATCAAATTTTGCCAAAGACTCGCCAAAACGGCTACGGAAACCTATGAAATCCTAAAGCAAGCATTTGGGGAGTCCGCAATGGGTAGTTCACAAACTTTTATGTGGCATTCATGTTTTAAAAATGGCCGAACCTCTGTCGATGAGGGCGAGCGTTCTGGACGACCATCTTCGAGCACAACGCCCGAAAATGTTACGAAGATTCGGCAGGCCATTCACAAAGATCGACGTCGTACCATCAACGACTTGTGCGACATTGCTGGGATAGGCTATGGGACCTGTCAGCAGATTCTACACCTGCAATCTATGTTCCTCCCTCAAAGTGAGAGACCAAGTTTTGCAACCATACAAAACAACAGGAAGAAATATTGTTTTGTATACTTTAATCTTCAGGTTTTTAGAAATCAGACAGGAAGACAAATATTTTGAACTGGAAGTAGGAAGCATTTCAGAATGTAGTCTCCTCCAAATTACCTCATGAATATCATTTTGATTTCTTATTGACGGGTTTTTATAGGCGCAGTCTGTAAACTTTCCGATCGCACCTCGTATTTTCAAAAGGAGCGCATTTTGACATTTCCCCACAAATGTTGTTAAACGGCGAACAGTTACAATTATAGCTACATCATAGACGCAATGGAGATATAATGGACGTGTTTCCAATTTACCGTAACAAAGTTAATTAGTTTTCCAATTCTCCTATTGGCATTTTCAGTACCTGCGTCTACGTGTATGTGTAGGAGGGAGGAGGGAGTTTGGGTGATAGACTTGGTAAATAAATAACTGATATTTCTAATTCAATCAGTGGTCATATAAATTGAAAATTTCATTTTATTGGTTCTTTTTAACAATTTGAAATGCAGATTTATTCGGAGACAAACACAAATTTCAATGCCACGACCATCACGTTTCCTCCTTTTAATTCGCCCCTCGATTCTGTAAAATTTACCTCTTATAACATTGGCTTAGTTGTACATTAGTGTAGCAACAAATCAAAAACTGATTGTTACCATGGCAATGCTTATGACAGATTAATGTGTACTAACTTACGCACTTTATTGTTTATAATCAAAACTCAATTTTTCTGGATCTAAAAGAAATTACGGTAGAAGGTAAGAGAGCTACGAAACAGAAAAAGAGACAGGAAGTTGAAAAGAAACAGAGAAGGATTAGGAACAACCGAAGGGACAAGAAAGGAAGGAGGGAGGACATAAATAAAAGGAAAAACAAACAGGAAAAGAAATAAAGAAAGGGAAACAAAAATCGAAATAAAGTATAGGAAAGCGTACGTGTTCCATTAATAGTAGTATGATGTACTTTGCAAACATTTTATATGAAAGTAGCAATGCTAAACGAAATTTGGCTGGATCGGAAATATGTATCGGCCCCTCCAGATTCCGCTACAATCACATTTCAATTTATGTTATTCATGGCTGGGGCAATCCCGACAAGCCCTTCTGTGGATTCGAACACTAGACTCGTTGGTCGGCCTAAACCACCACTTGTAGTCTTGTTTAGCCTCCGAATTAACTGCAACATAGCGTATGTATTCTGGCAATGCGGATGGAATCTGTTGCTCCGACGAGCCAAACCAAGAAAACACTCAAACTTTACGTCTTCCCGCTAGGTAAACTTTCTTCTTTATTTTTTACTTTACAATTGTTTATTCAATGTTAGAATCTCTGTGAATATTTTATACTTTGAGATCTTTTATAAAATACTTTAATGTAAGCCTAACTTTTTTATCTTTCCTTCTGTATTTTGTAACACAAAGGTATTGTATTCAATGTAAATTTGGTTATTCAGCTCGTTTAAATAACTAAATAGTATATTAATAATTTTATAAGAACACTTCAGAACAAAAGAAAAGTTTCAAGAAAGGAGAATAGGGATTACAGAATATCAGAAGGGTGGGGTTCGACGTAGAAAATCAGGTATTGTCAGCGTCAGTTTACTTGGCGTCTAAACCCAATAGTAACTATTGATTTTGTCTCATGCAACGGGACGGCAAAGCAGATCAAATAACATTCCGAGCGGCAGTGTTCCTTCCATTGTCACAATGCACGACGTTCATACCGTAAGTAAAATGTAGAAACAAGAGTGGTGACTCAACCCACGATCAATCAGCTACTTTTAGCGTTAGAATCGTAGCCACACCGTTCGAAACCCCAATGAATTACCAAGTACCACGACCTTTTCCGTGATCTATTCGGCCTCTGAGGCGAATAGTTTGAAACAGAGAGTAAGCAGCATTTCAAATACTTAAAAAACTTCACATGTACGTACACCTTTATCCATAACTCAAATTATATGTTATCATGGAAACATATCAAAGAAATAGTTTTCTTAAGTGTGAGCCAGCAGTGAGACCGTGGGGGACAGACACATATACAGTACAGTTATGTAGCATTGCAATTTTACAATAGCAATTAAACTGTTTTTAGTTGCATTTGTCTTCATTATAACCTTCAGAATGACCACATGTAGATTCAATCCCACATGCTTCCTCAATATCTGACGTCCATTACTATTCAGAATAAAATAAAACTTCATACAGTAAGCGTATCACGTACGAAGAAATAATGACTTCAGAGATCATAAAATGTTACGAACAAATCTGGCAAAACTTGATCGTTTCCTGAATTACAATTAAGGACTTTCTCCACGGCACACGTTCCACCTATTCCAAAAGTTTCAGTTGCCAACTCAACACAACCCCTAGGCCTAAATGGTACTCTGACACATTTAGAATTTTACTTGCAGTTTTCGTTATTAAAATGGTTACACTGCGTAATATAAGGTCTATCTAAAATAT